AACAGGTACATCTAGTTCATCAGGCTGAATAAAAATGACAGAAGAGGAAGGGAGAGTCTCCAGTAGAAGAACTCAAAACTTTTTTAGGTAGTAGAAAAAGTGGAAAATAAAGGAAATCTGAAAAGGTCATTTGAGGCTTTGTACTATAAAGATATCACCCAATATTACTATTTGAAGCGTGAGAATCATTTAGCTCAGATAACAGGTACATCTAGTTCATCAGGCTGAATAAAAATGACAGAAGAGGAAGGGAGAGTCTCCAGTAGAAGAACTCAAAACTTTTTTAGGTAGTAGAAAAAGTGGAAAATAAAGGAAATCTGAAAAGGTCATTTGAGGCTTTGTACTATAAAGATATCACCCAATATTACTATTTGAAGCCATTTTTAAGCAGCAAATTGGGTGGAAACATTTTTATTGTCTAAACAATCAAAGTTGTTCTTTGGCAGCAAACCAAGCCAAAGAGAAACAGTTCTGAATTTTGTCATAAATAATATTCCTCTCTCTAAACAGTTCTTATATTAGACAGCTCGAAGAACTCAATCTTTATGAGAACCAAGTACAAATGTTTCATTCCAATATTTTTACGATATTTTTATACATAGCGTGATTAAATCTTCCAGAGCTATTGGGCCATGTTTTGCTGGCTTAATTGCCAAAATGGTTGCAAGTCATTTGTGAGTAAAATTATGCCAAATGTCCCCAACCGTTTTATGTGTCCAACCTGCATTTACAAGGATAAGGATATAACTAGCTCTAGTTTAAACCCATTTTTAAATCTAAATCCTTCAGAATTAATTATAATAACACCAGCAAGGAATAAGCAAAATTTTATCTCTATTTCCTTTCCCCAACTTATAAATCGAAAGATATTTTGTATTAAGTGTACATTCTTTTTTTTTTTTTTCCTCTCCACTTATCTATTTCTGACAACTCATGCCCATAGGGTTTTCTTGGAACCATGTCTGTAACTCCATCCTGATGAGAACAGATGTCCATGGCTTTGGCCATGGGTCAAATGAGAGCTCATGAATATAAGAATGTGGTTAATAAATATTTTTATATTTTAAAACAGTGGTCCCTGGCACCACTGCAGACAATGTTTTCTAAACAGCTCTCCCTAAACATACACACACACACGTACATGTGCATATACACACACATGCACGCATGCATACACACACACACATGCAATACAGAAGAACTGGTCAGTTTTCCTCTTTATGAATATTTTTCATTCATTTCTATATCTCATAATTTGCTAGATGCCTCTTGAAAACAAGATGCTAGATAGTACAGAGAAAATGTGTTGACTAGCTAGGAACCCCACGCCAAACTGAAATTACCACAGGCTATATTAACCAGGGAACAGTGGATGTACATAAGTTACTTTATGCTCTGTAAATTATCCCTCTGTGACATGAGATAATATAGAGGAAGTAAGTCACTTCTTAACCCATATATTAGGTCTTAAAACATATTTCTCATGAATACAATCTATGTCTAACTAGTCACTTGAACAACTGGAAAAGTGAGGAGAAATCTCAATGTAAATAAGCATATTATATTGTGAATGAAACAAATTTTAATTATTAGATTATATTTTCCACTTTGTAAAAATTTTTCTGTCACAAAATTACAAATACCATTGACTTGCAGTTATCTGAAATAATGATAAATGAGAGTATATTTGAGAGGGAAGACTATGGAGAATAAATTAGATTGTTTAAAACCACAGATAATAGGGACCAGCAGATGGCATAATGGTTATATTGCTGGACTCTCAAGTAGTCAACTGTGGTTTGAGTCCTGGACCCGGCAGCTTAAAACTCACACCGAGCACATGCGTGTGTGTATGTGTGTGCCCAAAATCCCAAGAGAAGAATGGAGAAGAAAGGATTGCTATGTGGCCATCTCTGTGGGGAGTGATTTTTCTCTTTCTATCTCTCTTTCTCTTCTCTCTGGTGAGAGCATGGACCCTATAGCAAAAATCTCTTAAAAAGAAAAAAAAAAAAGAAAACCCCATAGATAATCCAAAATTCCTTTTTAAAAAATTATTTCATTTAACTTCATTTACTTATTTGTTTATTTTATATTTGACCAGAGAGGGAGAGAGAGAGAGAGAGAGAGAGAGAGAGAGAGAGAAAGTGAGAAAGCAAGACACCAGGTCCAGGAATTGAACTGTGGTCAGTCATGCGGGAGTCCAGTGCCCTTAACCACCAGGCTACTTGCCAGCCCCAATCCAAAATTACTTCTGAATAAAGTCTACACATACGAGTGTCTGCCCACTCATATTTATTGATTTGGCCCTTACCGCAACTCTCTGCTCTTCGACACTGACAGTCTTTATATGGGCATTCATTACGTGCTCAGAGTGTTTATTTTTTATATCTTTCTCTGGACCAACTTAGTACTCCCTAGGCACAAGACAAATAGAGTTCTCTGATCTCTTCTCTGTCCCACTCACACCTCCTAAAATTCTCCTGCCAAAGTGACATTAAATAAGCAGATAAAGTACTTAATAGTCTATAATTTAAATAAATTGCATTTAATCCAGAATTGCTTATGAAACATTATTTACTCCCAGAAACTTTTGCCTAGTATGTTTTCATTTGATAGTTCAGAAAGATGAATTTTAGAAAGCTGCTAAGTGGACACCAAAGCAGTGCCTCACATTAACAGCTCATAACAATTTAGAAATACTGAATAAATAGTACTCCCCTAGATATGAACAAGGGCAGCGTGACAAATGTCTCCCGAGATAGCTATCCTTCATGGTCAGTCAGCGAACAACCTATTTCCCTAAGGCGTTCAGCAACATGCAAATCTAGCTCGTGTTATGTGCAATTTTAAATGAATAATGATAAATAACACTAGTAGTGAAAATGGAGTATTTACTATGTACTGCACTTAGTTCTGAATATTTTGTTTATGAATTCATTCAAACTTTCTATCACCCCTGAGGAATAAATATTCTTTTTTTTTTAAATGAATTATTTTATTTAGCTTTATTTATTTATTTATTTTTACTTGACCAGAGAGAGAGAAAGAGAGGAGAGAGGGCAAGAGAAAGTGAGAAAGCAAGCCGCCAGGTCCAGGACTTGAACCACAGTAGGCCATGTGGGAATCCAGCACCCTTAACCACTTGGCTACCTGCTGGCCCCAGAGTAAATATTCTTTGTAACCCCCTTTCATGCAGGCAGAAGTGAAACACAGGGCAGTAGGTTGCCCAGCACACAAAGTCAGCCTGTAAGAATCTGCCTCAGAGTCTGTACTCTCAACTACCACAAGACGGTGTGTGTGTTATCAAGGAATGGCTTTCATTCTTTTGATTGACAAGACTCCAAAAAGCATCTGCCCCAAGGTTAGACACTAAAGAAGTATTGAGACATGGGTATCTCTGTTAAAGATGAGACTGAGTCATCAGTATCTGCTACTGACTGAAGGTACGTGTCCCACTAACACTCAGATTTGTATGTTGGAACTCTAATATCCATTGTCATGGTATTTGGAAATAAAAGCATTGGAGGAAACTAGGCCATGAAGGTGGAGCTCACATGGTGGGACTAGAGCCCTCACGGAATAAATGAGAAAGCTGCCTTCCTCTCTCTGTTCTCTCTGCCAGGGGAACACACAAGAGAGCCATCTGCACACCTGAAAGACTGCCTCTCACCAGTCACCTGATCTGCTGGAATCTTGATCTTGGACTTTCCTACCTCCAGAATTATGGAAGATAAATGTCTGTGGTCTAGGCACTCATCTATGTCAATTATTATAGCAGCCAAACTAAGACACTGTCAGAAAAGCAACCTAAGAACAAGGATATATGTAAGGCAATACAGTTAAGAAAGTGAGGGCAATAGCTACAGATGACCATCTGAAAAGACACTGTGACTCCCCTCCAAGAAATTGTGAGAAGGACAGTAAGCCTAAGGGGCAGCAAGGCAAGTCTAATCAACTCTGCAAACAGCAGCTGTGGTAGTATTATGTCCATCTCTTCAGGCACACCCCTGCTCCCTGTCACCTTCTACTTGAGCAATGCATGCATGAAAGAGTGCATAGGTGCATAAACATAAACAAGATAATTAAGATGCCATATTTTTTTAAGAAAATTGTTTAATTTTATTTATTATTATTAATTTTTAATTTGGCCAAAGAGAGACACAGAGAGAAAGAAAGTGAGAAAGCAGGCTGCCAGGTCTGGGACTCAAACTGTAGTCAGCCACATAGAACTGACCAGTGCGATACATAAACAAGATAATCAGGATTCTATATTTATTTTTGTGTCTAAAATTAAGTGAGCATTATTAAAGCTAAATATGACAGAAAAAAAGTCTTCTAGAAAGCAAAACTTACTGAATCCTTTCTTTGTAATTTGCTAGAGGATGAGTACATTCACTGGTGAGAGACACCCCCGATGAGAAAGCACCCCTGATGGGAAACACTTATGCACTCATCTTGCAATCCCTTCTTTTCCATTTCTCTGCCCTTTTGCAGTTTGGGGCACGTATACATACACTCAGGATATTTTTCAAGCCCTAGTCCAGAACTGAAACCAAGTGGTCAGCCATATAGGATCCAGCTGCTTTAACCCCCAGGATACTTGTTGGCCCTCGAAACCTTTAAAATCATGTCTACATGTAGTTACTTTGAAAACCACTTGTTACAATATAAATAATTTTAAAGAAAAATAATTTAAAATATATATATATATATCCTGATGACACAGCATTTAAGAAAAAGAAAAACTAGACCTAATGCAGACAGCTTACTGTCTGCATTCTTCTGGAGTTCCAAGTCACAACTGGGTTACTCTTGGAAGCAAGTCTTCATTCTCTGACTCAGCTGTTAGGAGCCCTGGACAGTATACTGCAGGAGATGTCTTAGCTGGTTACGTTAAGTCATTCAGGGTTTTCAGAAATCCTAAGATTATATTTGTCTTTGTCTACACAAATCTCTCTCAGAAATATGCACATTCCCTTCTCAATATTCCTTTTGCTTACTTGGGATAATTTCTAGATTGAATGAAGGGCAGAATCTCAGAATCTTGACTAGACGGAGGCAGTAGTAAATCTCGAAATCGTTCTGTCAAAAGAAAAACATCAAGTTGTGAAAAAAATAAGCCATAAAAATCATTTCAAAATGGAATTATTTCCTATTTTTCTGTTAGTCATTTTGGATGTACATCCGTGTTAGAGATCTATCCAATATTTTATATACTCTTAAAACATATGTCTATTTTTCCTTAATGGCTACTTACATTGTTATGATGAAAATATTGCAATTGCAGCCCATCCACAATGATAGGTAATTGTACAACCTTCTGCAATGCTGGAAGCCATACAGAAGTGTGGGGTTGGTTCCTGGGTTACCTTGTAGGCCCTGAGCATCCATGTGTGTGCCCAAAATCTCAGTAAGAGGGGCAAGGCTGAGGTTTCACTTCATGAGACCCTATTGAGTACATTTTACTTTCTCTCTCTGTTTCCCTCAATAGAAAAGTAAACTTAAAAAGTTGCAATCCCTAGAAATGTAAAAATAGCAATATTTGCTAATTTAGAATAAATAAATTCTTAAAGGTTATAGACAGCATATATGACCAGTAAACATTCCAAGAGATGTACAATCTCATTAGTTATCTGGGAAATGTGAAGCAAAACCACACAGCACTAGGTATCATTCACATTATATGCCATTCAATTGACAAAAATTCATCTCATAAGACCAAGAGTTAGCAAGTGTGGATCAACATAAGCTCTTATACATTGTCAGTGGGAGTGAAAATGGGTACAAAACTTTAGAACACAGTTTGGCATTACTTTTTTTAAGAAAATTGTTTAATTTTATTTATTATTATTAATTTTTAATTTGACCAAAGAGAGACAGAGAGAGAAAGAAAATGAGAAAGCAAGCCACTAGGTCTGGGACTCAAACTGTGATCAGTCACATAGAACTGACCAGCACCTAACCACTGCACCACCTGCCGGCTCCTTGGCATTGCATTCATTACATTTTAAGTTTATTCTTTGCCTACCTTATGGCCAATTATTTTAATTCCTAGGTATGTACCTGGAGAAACTTTCACATGTGTCTTAGACAGCAAATAGGAGTACATTCATTGGGAGCCAGCAGTTAGCGTAATGGCTATGTCACTGGACTCCCATGTAGTCAACCGTGGTTCGCATCCCTGACCTGGTGGCTTAAAACTCACGCCGGGTGCATGTGCGTACGTGCCCAAGATCCCGAGAGGAGAATGGAGGAGAAGGGATTGCAGCATGGCCATCCCCCCCGGGGGGTGATTTCTCACTTTCTGTCACTCTGTCTCTGTCTGTCTGGTGAGCACACACGCCCTATAGCAAAAACCTCTCCTAAAAAAAAAAAAGAAAAAGAAAAAGAAAAACCTCCTGGCAGATTACATATAGCAGAATACAATTTTTATTGAGTTACAAAAAGCAACTAGGTAATTTATCATTTAAGTATGTTACATAGAGAATAAAGCAAACCAGTGATGAAAAAGGAAAGATACACAAAATTCGGAATAATGGTTACTTGATAGGAAGGATAAGAGATGAAACAGGAGAGAAACAAAAGGGTTAGATATAACTAACAATGTTTCATATGCATTAATTATAGTACCATAAATGCGTTAATGAATAAATAAAGAGACCAACAAAGAGAGCAAGCCATTAATCAAACTTGGATTAATAAATTTCAATATAGAGAAAGCCTTGGGTCCAGTGGTTAAGGTAAGCGGATCCTACATGGCCAACCATACAGTTCAAGTCTTGGACCCAATAGCTTGAAAAACACAATGGGTGAATAAGCATGCTTGCCCAAGATCAAGCCAGGAGGGAGAACTGGAGAAGAGAATGCAGTCTGATCACATCCCATGGGTGTGGGGGGGGGGGATTTCTCTCTCTCTTTTTCCATCTCTCTCAGGTGAGTACACTCTCTGGCAAATAAAGAAATTTAAAATAAATAAATAAACCTCAAAACATATAAAGTTTATCATGAAGGACTGAAAGAAACACATACCATAGCTATCTGCATTGCATAGAGTAATCAATCCCTCTAATACTAATTCCATATGTCCAGGATGGATATTCATCTCTGAAGTTATCCCTCTAGGAAGGCTTCCTTGATTACTCCATGATTCTTTCTTTTTTTCCTCCTGACAAATTTGGAATAAGTGGCCGTATTGTGCCCTCCTAGTAAACTCATGCTTACACTTTCACAGAATTTGTCACACTATGTTTTTGCTTTTATATGTATTTGTCTATCAGCCTTCTCTCCCTTTCTAATAGATGGTATTATGCCTAAGAATGCAAAGCATTGTGTGATACATATTAAGGTGCTAGATGAATATCTCTGGAAGGAATATCCAACTTCCATTTTTTACTGGACGATAGTCAAGGTTAATCGTGATGGCTCATATAAAAGACCAATTGGCCATATATCAACCAGCATCAGGCTGAAATTGAGTGCAAAGCTAAAATTCCAACGCTCTGGTAAATCCATCACTAACTGAAGGTAAGCAATTTCCACAAAATACTGCAAATTTACAATTGATGACAACTGCTATTCCAGGTTGCTGAATAATAACATGTTAAATCATTTGTGAGATTGGTGGTCACAAAATATTACCGAGAAGCAGAAGGTAAATTTTACCATCATCCTGACTCACAGTGTAACTGGCTTCTACTCTGGTTTTCATTCTCACCACTCTGTCCTTATGATACATTTGCAGAGGAGCTAAATAAGATTCGAAAACAGAGGTGGCTGTACTCTGAATTCTGGAGATCCAAAACATCCCCTGTATTGCTCTCCTTTAAGTCCACTTACTCTTTAAGTTCATTTTATCAAAAAATTAAATTACATGATTGACTGATGTACTATTTTGGATCTATAACATTAATATTAATTTCAGTGAAATGACTAGGACCTCTTTTGATGATATATGACTCTTGCTTTTCAGTTGTCCCATTTTTAAAAAGTTAATGTGCTTATTTCATGAGAGATAGAGAGATAAAGAGAGATACAGTAGCTCTGACAGGGTCCCAGGGCTGTGAGCTATGCCCAGCCTCAGCCCATCTAGATCACAGGCATAGACAAGCCTGGTATACTCAGGAAAGTACCTGGATGTGAACTGGGAACCTTCCCATGAGGGTCTGTCCCACAGAGGATCATACTTAAGTGCTCTGCCACTAACATGGTCTTCTACTTTCCAATTTATGCAGCACTCATTAAATAGTAATTGGTAGAGTTTATATTTTTCCATTTTAGCCCTTTCTAAAAAACGAGTTTTAGAAAATAATCTAACACCAAACAACAAACAAATACTTTCTAGATCAAGTAAAGAATTGTTCAATTAAACAGCTAGATCGGGTATGATATTCCTTGGAAACTGCAAGTATAAAGTTTGCTGAATGGTTCCCAAAGTTATCTAAAAGGAAGCAAAACTCAGAATTCTTCAGGCACACAACTACAACATAGTACATAATTTCCTTAGCAAAACGTCTCTGTTTTTTTTTTTTTTTTTGGAGAGATTTTCACTGTAGGGCGCGTGCGCTCGCCAGACAGACAGAGAGAGACATAGAGACAGAAAGCGAGAAATCACCCCCCAGGGGGGATGGTCACGCCGCAATCCCTTCTCCTCCATTCTCCTCTCGGGATCTTGGGCACGCACGCACACGCGGCCAGCGTGAGTTTTATTTAAGCCACTGGGTCCGGGACACCAACCGCGGTCGACTACGTGGGAGTCCAGCGACATAGCCATTACGCTAACTGCTGGTTCCCTCTTTTCACATAATCAAAAAGAACATTTAAGTGTAAATATGGAGGAAGTTTCTAGAGATGACATTATATTGATCAGACTAAACACACATACACACACAAACACATACAGTAAAGCAGCATCACAGAGATCACTCACAGACCAACCCAAACTATGAAGAAGGCTATAATTAACTCTGCTGCATTTGGAGCGTTCTCTCATCTGAATGTCACAATGCCAGGAGCACCAAGTGAACGCGCATAGATACCATGAATGTGAAGAAGTCTGGCCAGCTGTGGTGGCACAGCAGTAACACAACGCTCTGTGATGCTGAAGCCTCAGAAAGTTCTGGTTTTCTACCCCAAGATCTCCATGTGCACATTGGGCCTGCTAGCCTGTGATCCAAAGGCTGGGGTTGAGCGGAGGAGTCAGACTCTGCTGCGGATGTTTCTCTGTCTCTGTCTCTCAGGAAATACAATAAATATATAAACTTTATAAAAGGGGGAAGAGGGGGTGATGGAGGAGTGTTATTACACCAGACTCAATGTGATAACACAAATGTGGGAAGATTTTGGGTTTGTATCCCAGGACACCCTTGTGCAGTCTGGGGGTATGTGCATGTCCCTGATCTGGAATGGTTGAAGTTGGGGGTGAATTGGGTCATAAAAACCCTGTCGGGGGGCCAGAAGGTGGCGTGGTAGTTAGGGCGCTGAACTCCCACATGGTCAACCACAGTTCGAGTCCCGAAATCAAAGGCTTGAAAATCACACCAGGGATATGTGTGTGTGTGTGTGTATGTGTGTATGTGTGTGTGTGCCCAAAATCCTGAGAGGAGAAAGGAGAAGGGATGGCAGGCAACATAGCTACCCCACAAAGAGTGACTTCTCACTTTCCCTTTCTCTGTCTCTCTCGCTGGCAAGTGTGTACCCTATTAAGTGAACCTAAAACAAACAGACAAAAAAAAAATCCTTTTGGGTGTGCATGTTTGTGTGTCTTTTCTCTCTCTCTCTCTCTCTCTCTCTCTGTCTCTCTTTCTCATGGAAGAAATAAATGAATAAACTTAAACAAAATTTCACATAGGGACCAGAAGATGGAGTAATGGTTGCATGGCTAGACTTTTTTTTTTTTGTTGAGGTGTTTGCTATAGGGTGCATGCATTCACCAGAAAGACAGAGAGCACCAGAAAGACAGAGAGAGACAGAAAGACAGAGAGAGACAGAAAGACAGAAAGCAAGAAGTCACCCCCGGGGGGGTGGGGGGTGGGGGATGGCCACACCACAATCTCTTCTCCTCCATTTTCCTCTCGGGATCTTGG